GAGTTATTAATTGTTATTGTTATAGTTAAAGTTGACAGATATCCAGAGGAAATCTGTTGCATCGATAGCATAAAGGAAAACAATTCTGCTTTACATTCTGCTTTACAGACAAATATTTAACGAAACAAACACTCTGCTGTATAATCTACTATACTACTATCTATGCCATCGATATGACGGATATGTTTTCTAACCTAAGATACAGTATCGTACCGTGCGAAGAATCGCTTTTGATCGCTTTACGGTGTTAATCAGCCCTTATCAGGGCTTCAGTTTGCGCATTTTTGCTTTGCTTTGTTTCGTACTTTAATACGAGAGCTCTGCTCTGTTCTATTATACGTGTAACGTACCGGGGAATCTATTGCATAACCTCATTCCGGTTTCCCGCGCAGAGGCATGGCCTCGGACTCGGGGGGAAGCAGTGACCAAAACTCGCATCGCAGTGTTTCCTTCTCCCTACATCCTCCTACATTGGTGATTAATCCGTCTAACCAGACCAATTCCTCACCCATTAATATGAATTCTAACGTTTCCAGCGATCTTTCTAGCTCGATGCTTAAATCGCTATTTGACGAAGCAGGCTTATCTGAGGTAGCAACATGCAACCCTAACAAAGAAATTACGTCATCATCATCATCGCCACCCCCACTATCATCAGATAGCTCTCAGGTAAGGACCTCAAGCGATCCTAGCATGGAAATAGACGAAATTACAAATACTAGGAAGCGCCATTCCTCTGAGGAGATAGAAGCACAAGGTCGTTCCTCGACCTCCCCTCCAAAGCGATCTACCGCTTCGACAACTTCCACTTTGAATCCTCGAGACTCTCCAAGGCCAAATAATGCAGAAGACGCGATCGGTGCGCGCTCTCAGGATACTACTAATGCTGCAGCTAACCTTAAAGCTGCACCTAAATATCGCCCCCAGGACAACGGTCCCTACGCGGTCTACGTCTACGACCTGAATCGGGAAAAGGCTACACATTCGATTGTCATCTCAAGTATCATCGCGAATTCAGGTATTCCAGATATACAGGAGATCAAAAAAATCGGTAAGGGTAAAATCCTTATAGAGGCGAAATCTGTCACCGCTGCTAATAGGTTAGTAGATAATCCAACATTTTCTAAACATAACCTTAAAGCTTTCATACCAGCCTTTAGAGTCATCAGAGAAGGCGTCATTCAGGATGTACCTGTCGAACTTGCACTCGAATACATTCACACACACATTGAAACGCCAACCGCCAAAATCTTGGACATTCAAAGATTAAATAGAAGAGTCACAATAAATGGTAAAAGCGAATATGTACCCTCCAAGACACTTCGCATTAAATTTGCTGGACAGGTTCTTCCAAGAGAAGTGTTCTTGTTTAAAATCAGACATGAGGTACGACCCTATATACCTAAAGCTCGCATATGCTTCTCGTGCTTTAGAGTCGGACATATAGCTAAAGTCTGCAAGGGCCCGCCTAGGTGTCTATATTGTGGAAACAACGCCCATGAAAACGAAGACCCCTGCCCATCAAGGGATGGCGAAACCGACGCTGTATGTATCAACTGCAAAGGCGCACATCTCGCTACCTCCAAAGACTGCCCGATAATCACCAAGCAGGATAACATCATTAAACTGGCAGCTGTCGAAAATATCTCCATAGCGGATGCTAGGAGAATTGTCAACAACCAAGGTCCCTCTACTCGCCACAGCTCTGGAATGGACTCTCAAGACTTTCCGCGATTAAACTCAAAATCGCCACATGGCTCTTCAGGTTCACCTAGCTTTACGTCCACTAACCCCTTCCACCTTTTAGAAGCAGAAGACCTAGACCATGACCGGATATCTTATGCCGAAGCTGCTGGCTCACGGCCGGCACGCACCTCGCAGCAGGCTCCCACTCATAACGGAAACAGATATCATCACTCGACGCAAGGTTCACCATACCACTCGAACACTAACCAAAAGAGTGCCAACAACCAGGGCTATGATAGAAGAGCTCACCAAGAAGCACTTTTCAACCCCCACGGGGCTTATGGCTATTCTAACGCAAGAGGTACGGCTTATCAATCTGCCCTCCCCCCCCCTCCTCAGCGTGGTCACGGTGAACCTAACCTTTTTGAATTTGCCAAATATATTCCGGAACTCATTAATTTAATTTCAGAGATTGTTAATTGTTTTCGCAATCACGATTTTTCCTCACTGATGAATATTATCATTTCATTCATACAGAATTACACATCTTCCAATAACTACAGATATCCCACTGGTGATATTAACCCCCCCTCTCATCGCAATAATCACAATGAATACTCTATTTCATATAATCCAACAGGCTCCCAAAGCCAGGACTTTGCGCATCCTTCTTCTGACTACTTACAAGACAATTTTCGGAACTGGAATTCTTCAAATAAGTACTAGTTCTTCCACCTCGAATATACACAAACAAACTAATCATAGTAGAGTTGTACCTCAATCCTCTCGCAGGCAACCATCCTCTGCAGGCATAAGAATCATCCAATGGAATTGTAGAGGCGCCAGAGGCAACCAAGGTTCATTGGTATTGTTGGCCAAAGATCATGACATTATCTGCGTTCAAGAATCTTTACTCAAACCAGATTCTAATCTAAAGATCAAATCCTTTCGCGCTGTCAGAAATGACATTGTCCTTGCAGGGCATTGCGGCATCTGCACATTCATCAAAGACAATGTCAAATTCGAGATCATTAAGCTCCAAAATATTGAACACCCGTCTGTAGAATATCACGTCATTAAATTAATTACTGCCAGGGAGCCGATCATCTTGGTGAACATATACAGGCACCCCGGTCAGGACACTCCACTCACTTTCTACCAAGACCTCTTAAATGCTCTCAAGGAATTTAACCTTTTACTCATGACCGGAGATTTCAATGCTCATCACCCTAATTGGGGTTGTCCCTCTCGTTCTGGTGCAGGTAATAGACTGTCGAAAGCTATAGAGGAATTCGATCTTGTAATCTTAAACGATGGTTCTCCCACTTTAATACATCATTCCGCACAGAGCTCTGTCATCGATCTTTCCTTGTCTTCTCCTATTCTTGCTCCAATCTGTTCCAGTTATGTTCTTGACGATACGTATGGTAGTGACCACTTTCCTATCTGCACAAAAATTAACGTTGCGCCTTGCTATTCTAAAAAATTTTGCTATAAGCTTAAGCTGAATAAGGATCAACTGACTACTTTAAATTCTATGCTCAAGAATTCTATCAATATAATTTCAGGAAAAGAAACCCTGGACGCCACTTCACAATACAACCTATTCGTCGAACATGTTCAATCCTCAGCCAGAGGATTACTCCCACCGGACAAGGGCGTGCCACATAGTAAGATAAACTCCTGTCGTTTGAAATCACCTCCTTGGTGGAACGATGACTGTGATACTGCAGTCAAAGAAAGGAGAAAGGCGCTCAAAAGGCTCGCCGAGTGCCCTGACAGAGCTCGTCTCGATGATTTTAAGTCTGCTAGGAGAAGGTGTTCAGAATGCATACAGGAGGCTAAACGAATTGGTTGGAGGAAACTTGTTGGCAGTTTTAATTGCAAAACTTCAACGCACCGCATCTGGTCTCTTATTAAAAGTTTCAGGCGTAACAAAAACCCTCCCTCGAACCAGGACAATAATCTTGACACGGTCTCACTGGCTGCCATCGAAAAACTATGTCCTCCCTTTTGTCCTTATAACGACCACAAACATATTGAGGATATGAAACGTGAAGATCTTCTTCAACATAATACACAACAATGGTTGGAAGAACCCTTCTCAAGAGTCGAACTTACTAGGGCTATCAATGTGGCTAAAAAACGTTCCGCCCCAGGCTTGGATCAAATAAATCATTCCATCATCTCCAGTCTTCCCGATGAGTATATTACCAGACTACTCGAATTGTACAATCAAATACTAGCACAGGGAGTTATACCGGACTCTTGGAAGGATTCCCTAGTTGTTCTTATTCCTAAAACCGATGGGAAGTCTGTGCGCCCAATTTCTCTTCTCTCATGTTTTGCCAAATTGATGGAATACATGATATACTTTAGACTTAGATGGTTTATTGAATCACGTCCTCTTCTCCCACAAACGCAGTCAGGCTTCCGACCAACCAGGTCCTGCATAGATAACCTCGTGACTCTCACCTCTAATATCAGAACAGGCTTTGTTAGGAGATCTCCTACCGTAGCTGTATTTCTCGATATTGCGGGAGCTTTTGACAATGTTATACCTCACATTCTAATTAGGGATTTGTATGAAATTGGCATTCCCGCCTCCATTAGAAAATTCGTTGAAAATTTCATCTCTATGAGACGTCTGCATTTCGTGGTAGACGGTTCTCTCTTAGGACCGTTTAATTCTTATAAGGGCACACCTCAGGGCTCCACACTCAGTCCTGCGCTTTTCAATATCTACCTTAAAGATATCAACGATCACATTCATTCAGATTCTCGTATTTTGCAATACGCTGACGATGTTGTCATATATTCCACCTTAAGAAACATTGACTCAGCTATCTCATCCGTGCAAAAATCGATTGATAACATTTATACATATTTAAGATACAGAGGTCTCGAACTGTCACCGTCTAAATCGAGATATATGATATTCTCTCGCATCAAATAGTAGTAATAGTATGAGAGTTCTAACTCGGGAACTCCGAGGGGAATGCGGGGCGCGGGGGAT